GCCATATGAAAAAAAATGTTCAAAATAAATAATAATTAGAAAACACAAATTAAAGGAACTCTGAAGTTCCACCTTACACTCATGAGACTAGCAACAGTGACATCATGGGAAAATGACAAATTATAAAGGTGCTACCAGAAAATAGATACATTAATGAACTGTTGGTGAGGCTGTGAATTGGTCAAGCAACTCTGGAAAGCAAATAAGGGATGATGCCTCCAAAGTTACTAAACTGTGCAAACTCTTTATCCCAGTAACACCACTAGTAGACTTATATCTAAAACACATCAAAGAAAAAGGAAACGGTTCTATGGGTACAGCTCTTTTTATGGTGGTAAAAATCTAAAAATTGAAAGGATGAGCAACAATTGGGAAATAGCTGGTTACTGGTAGAGTATATGAGTTCTGGTATATGAATGTAAAGGCCTATTGTTGGGGAGGTGGGGGGAGGCAGCGCGGAGCCAAGATGGTAGAATAAAAGCAGTGACTTGCTTCAGATCTACCCCAAACCTCTCCAAATACCTGTACAAAATGGTTCTAAACAAATTCTAAAACAGAAGAACCCACAGAAAGACAGAGTGCAAAAATTTCCAGGCCAAGACAGCCTTGATGGTTGATCAGAAAGGTACATTGCACCAGGTGGGAAGAGGAACGTAGTTTGTCATGCACATGCAGGCAAAACAGGCTTCAGTGAACCTGAAGCAGGCCTTAGAGGACTGAATCACAGGTAGCTGTGGCAGCTACTAGACCTCTCAATCCACAAACACCAAAGACAACTTAGAAGGTCAGTGGGAAAAGTCTGTGACTGCTGTGAGAGAGGGAGAGAAGCTCAGTCTCAGCCCTAGTCCCCAAGTGCAGTCCCAGGGCAGTGGTTGCCCCTAGAGCTTCTGGCCCACAGACTGAGGGAGAATCGCGTGGATAATCAGAGGGGGATTGCAGGGATCTCTTTGCTGGTGCTGAGGCAGGAATCTCTTGCTTTGCCCTTGCTTGGATCTGGGTCACAGTTCTGGGTGGCAATCCTGGGGCAACAAGGAGCGCTGTCATGGTAAAGCTTGTAGTGTGGTAGAGAGAAAATCCTCCTCACAGTTCCAAGGCAGAAAAGAGTGTTTGTGGTTACTCACAGACCCAAGCACAGGCCAGGAAGTGAGTAAACACCTCGAGGTGTTTGCTCCTCACCCCTTATCATACCACCCTGGAAGAACTGAAAATTTACAAGTCCCTAGACTATCTCTGAAAACAGCTGCACAAAACCCCTGAAGTTTGGGACAGTACATTCTCCACCCTGGAAGCAGACCCCTACCTTAACAAAGAGTTTAAAACTCAAGTGATTGGTTGGAATCATGACCAAACCTTGCAAAGAAAGTCAGACCATAGAATTTTTCTTAGATAACAAAACAGATGAAAACATAGAACCAGAAGAAGACAACAAAGTCAAAACTCCTACGTCCAAAGCCTCCAAGAAAAATATGAATCAGTTCCAGGCCATGGAAGAGCTCAAAAAGAATTTTGAGAAACAAGTAAGAGAAGTAGAGGAAAAACTGGGAAGAGAAATGAGAGTGATATAAGAAAATCATAAAAAACAAATAAACAGCTTGCTAAAGGAGACCCAAAAAAATACTGAAGAAAATAACACCTTAAAAAAATAGCCTAACCAAATGGCAAAAGAAGTCCAAAAAGCCAACGAGGAGAATGCCCTAAAAAGCAAAATTGGCCAAATGGAAAATGAAGTCCAAAGGCTTACTGAAGAAAATACTTCCTTAAAAATTAGAATAGAGCAATTGGAAACTAGCGACTTTATGAGAAATCAAGACACTGTAAAACAAATCAAAAAGAATGAAAAAATAGAAAACAATGTGAAATATCTCATTGGAAAAACAACTGACCTGGAAAATAGGTCCAGGAGAGAGAATTTTAAAATTATTGGACTATCTGAAAGCCATGATCAAAAAAAGAGCCTAGATATGATCTTTCAAGAGAGAGAATTTAAAAATTATTGGACTATCTGAAAGCCATGATCAAAAAAAGAGCCTAGATATGATCTTTCAAGAAGTTATTAAGGAAAACTGCCCTGATAACCTAGAGCCAGAGGGCAAAATAGAACTGGAAAGAATTCACCGGTCACCTCCCCAAGGAAAACTCCTAGGAATATTGTAGCCAAATTCCAGAGTTCCTAGGTCAAGGAGAAAATATGGCAGGCAGCCAGAAAGAAACAATTCAAGTATAGTGGAAACACAATCAGGATAACACAAGATTTAGCAGCTTCTACATTGAAGGACTGCAGAACATGGAATATAATATTCTGGAGGTCAAAGGAGACAAGATTACAACCAAAAATCACCTACCCAGCAAAATTGAATATAATCCTTTAGGGGGGAAAAATGGACATTCAGTGAAATAGAGGACTTTCAAGCATTCTTGATGAAAAGACCACAGCTGAATAGAAAATTTGACTTTCAAATACAAGACTCAAGTGGAGGAACACAAAGAGGTAAATAGGAAAGACAAATCATAAGAGACTTACTAAGGATGAATTGTTTACATTCCTGCATGGAAAGATAGTATTTGTAACTCATGAGACCTTTGTCAGTATTAGGGTAGTTGGAGGGAAAAAATTATATGTATGTAGATAGATAGATAGATAGATAGATAGATAGATAGATAGATAGATAGATAGATAGATAGACGGACAGACAGAGGGCACAGGATGAGTTGAAGATGAAAGGGTGATATCTGGAGAACAAAATTAAGGGGTGAGAGAGGATTATACTGGGAGAAGGAGAAAGGGAGAGGTAGAATATGGTAAATTATCTCACATAAAACAGACATGAAAAGGCTTTTATAGTGGAGGGGAAGTGGGGGAAGGTAAGAGGGAATGAGTGAATCTTATTTTCATAGGATTTAGTTTAAGGAGGGAATAACATACACACTCAATTGGGTATGGAAATCTATCTTACCCTACAGGAAAATAAGGGGGAAAGGGGACAAAAGAGCAAGGTGATGATAGAGGGAAGGGTAGACTGGGGGAGGGGGTAATCAGAAGCAAACACTTCTGAGGAAGGACAGGGTCAAAAGAGAGAATACAATAAATGGGAGGCAGGACAGGATTAATGGAAATAGAGTTAGTTTTTCATAACATGACTACTATGGAAGTATTTTGCATAACTACACATGTATAACCTGAAACAAAAAAAGGCCTATTGTTGTACCCTAAGAAGCAACAAAGGAAGGGGTTTCAGAGAAACCTGGAAAGCCTTGTATGAAGTCATACAAAGTGAAGTGAGCAGAATGAGAACGTTTTATACTATAACAACAAAAGTGTAAAAACAACTTCAAAGACTTAAGGACTCAGATAAAAGTGATGACCAACTAGGATTCAAGAGGACCAGTGATGAAGAATGCTACCTATATGCTCAAAGACAGGTGATGGACTAACTATGCAAAATGAGACACACACTTTTGGACATGGCCAAGGTGGGGATTTGCTTTGCCTGACTATTTATATTTATATTTGTTTTTCTTTTTTGGGGAGGTAGAGGGATATGGGAGAGAGTAAACAATAAATGTTTGTTAATTGAAAAAAATAAAATGTAATTAAATAAATAAAAATAGTGATGAGAAGAAGGGAAGGAAAAAGCATTTATTAAGTGCCTACTATATGCCGGGCACTATGCTAAGCTCTTTACAAATATTATGTCAGGTAATGCTCACAAACACCCTGGGAGGTAGATACTATTATTATCACCATTTTACAGTTGAAAAAACTGAGGCAGACAGAGGTTAAGTCACTTGCCTAGGGTCAAGGAACTAGTAAGTGTCTAAAGCCAAAGTTAAACTCAGGTCTTACTGACCCAGTGCTCAATCCATTGTGCCATCTATCTCAGCTGCCAATGAATGAATAGATTAAGATGCCTGGAAGAATAAATAGAGACAAGCTACCTAACAAATCCACTCACTTTAATTACATACCTTATAAGTTTATTTTTACTACCTGTCGATATTGACTACATAAATATCCTATGTATATTTGTATGGTTTATTTGGTAGAAATGCATTTAAATTTCATTAAAAGAATCCCAAGAACCTAACTTCAATAACTAGCTTTATTGTGGGATCAAAAGATGATCAAATACAGAAGAAAATAAATGTGTCATACCTGACTTTGCATTGTCTCCTGTGGCTAAACATTTGAAGCATAAAAACCTTTAGAAGGCCCCTTATTTTAGTCACTCAGCAGTATATACTTATTAACTAAGAAACTGTGTGCCTAAACACCTTACCAATAAAGGTCATTCAAAAACTCTGATGAAATTTCTGTAAAAATTGATTACTAATTCCTCTCTTCAAGTCTCTCCCCACTCATCTGTTGCATCCTTCACTTGGCTGCCAAGGTCATTTTTCTATGGCACATGTCCACAACCTGCTTAATGAACTCCTTTGGCTCTGTATTGTCCCCAAGATAAAATATAAACTCATCTGTTTGACATTTAAACTCTTTGCAACCTTTCTACCTTTCCAGGTTTCTTATGCTTTACACTCCTCCAACTACTCTACGATAGAATCCCTCTGGCCTACAGTCTTCCTGACTCCAGGCCAGGCACTCTTATCCACTGTACCATCTAGCTACCTGACCTATAGGAAGCAAATAATAAATGCTTGCTGATTAAATGGCTATTCCATGCCTACGTTTATTCTTCTTCTTGGGGCAATTAGGTGGCATTATGGATAGAGTGGCAGGCTTAGAGTCAGGAAGACCTGAATTCAAATCTAGCCTGAAATACTTACTTAGCTGTGCGACTCTTACTTAATCTGTTTGCATTAGTTTCCTAGTTTGTAAAATGGGAATAATAATAGCACCTAAATTTCCCAGGGTGGTCGTGAGGATCAAATGAGAAAATAATTATAAAGTGCTTATCACCGTGCCTGACCCATAGTAAACACTATATAAATGTTAGTTATTATTAATTGTAATTATTATTTTCTGTCATCTCATCTTGTTAAAGGAATGATCATTTGAGCTTATGTGTGAACCTTCCCCCTTACACTCAAACCTAAAAATGACCCCAGGACAACATGCTGATAAATAGAACATAAGCAACTTACAAATTGGAAGCAGCTCCTGACACTTGGCTCAATGTTGCTGCCTCCAAAGGAGGCAACTTCGCCCAGCTGCCTTGGGATTTGGATGGAATCATGCAGAAGGAGGCCCAACCTGCGCTGATCACAAAATCCCATTGAACTTGCCACCTGCTTAAAAAGATCTACAAGGAAAAGAGAAAATGCAAATGGTAAAATGGCTGCACACCGAATTATTCTGAAAACTTTTTTTTTAAGTTTGTTAGTGACAAATAGTCATGTTGTGCAAGATCATCTCTACCATATACTGATTGAGCCATTTACTCTGGGCATAAACTGGATTAATCAAAATTGTATAAATTAAACTGTATGATGTTGAAGGAAAGTATAATCCTAAAGTAAAATTTATATCACAACACTGATAATTAGTGAGAATTCCAAGCTCAGATCACAATATTTTGTGAATTTGTATACATAAGCATTTTTGGAGATAAAAAGTTTTCATATTAACTGGGGACTTATTTTATTAGCAAAATTCCTAAAAAATAGTTCAAAGTACCTTCCATGTTTGGAATCAGAAAATCATTTTAAGAAATAGCAAAACTGGTAAAATATGTTGAGTCAAAGGATTGGACAATGATTGTTCATTAAATAGAGCAAAAAACTGGTATAATGTTCATGTTATTTCCAGAAATGAAATGCATTTGATATGTCTTTAAAAAAAAGTTACCAAAAATCCAAGCTTCAAAAGAAGTAATCAACTCTTACTATTATCAGCACAATTCCATTCTCAGGGAACTGGTTGTATTAAGATATTCTCCAAGGATATTTCAAACATAAAAATAACAAAATTTAGGCCATGACCAACTGTAGTGCCTATTTATGTTACCCAATTAATAAAAACATGTTTATCCCAATGTCATGAATAGGTTTTCATATAGCCCATTTAAAAATTATTATTGTTATCATGCCCTTTCAATTGCATTAGAAATACAATTTCTGACATCTCTCACCATTAATTTACAGTCATAGGCCCTAGTCCCTGTATGTGGACAGACATGGATGGTCTGTTCCAAAAGAAATTCATAATCTAAAAGAGAAAATGCTATCTGAATACAGGAGAGTATCTGAAAGGAATTTATCAAAAAATATCTAAGAAAAAACCTTTTCAGTTTGAGTATTTTGTGTACTTAGTTTCAGGGAAGGATAAATATTGGCAAGAAAGACAACTCAAAAATGCATCTAGATAACATTAATGTTAAAATATCTTGGGGTCAGAGGACCTTCAATAAAGTCCTATCATAATAAAATAGTGGCTCATCATGATATAGAAGTGGCTGTTCTTTTTTAATTAAAGCTAGTTTACTGATTTGTTTTATGCCATTCCTGAGTGTTTTCCTTCCCCACCATCACAAAGCCTTTCTCTACGTCAAACTGTTTTTTTTTCCTGTTTGTATTTTTAAAGTTTACCAAAACTAATCAACACATTAACAATATCTGAAAGTATATGCAAATCCCACAACCACGGTCCTCCTCTTCTCCAATGAAAGAAAGAGGGTAAATTTTCTCATGTCTTCTCCATGGCCAAGCTTTGACCCTTGGTTATTAAGGAGTTGCTTCTCTGTCACAGTTTACCAAATAATGACAAGCTTAAAAGATCTCAAGGACAAGTAAAGTGACAGCCATTTTTTAGTATTGTCTAGCTGAGAGATAGTTCAGTGATAAGACTACTGGACCTGAAATCAGAAAGACCTGAGTGCAAATCCTACTGATGACATATACTAACTGTTTGGTCATGGGGAAGTGATGTCTCTTCTCTCAGCCTCAGTTTCCTCATCTGTAAAATGAGTTTATCAGTATTTAAATTGTGTGATTGTGAGGTTCAAATGAGATCAATTTGTAATGAATCTTGAAACTTCAAAATGCTATCTTAATTACAATTATTCTTATTATTATCCAAGGACCTGGCTAGTTAGGTGCAGGGAGATGCAATAAGAGGTTCACCACTTGGTGATTTCTTTCTCTTTCTTTCTCTTTTTCTTTTAAGCTCCAGAAATTTATCATCTAAGAATACAACGGTGAAATCTCAGATACTGGAAGTGTATAGATCTGAAACATGCAGCTAAATATATGCTGGGTGTGGGTGAACTCATTCTGTTTTCTCTCCTATCCCTGGAACTACAGTATTATATCTGAAAGCACCACCTGACTCATTTCCCTTCATTTTTTCCCTGTGTATGGCACGCAGATCTACACATACACATCAGTCCTGTCCACAAACAGGTAACAAGGATATTTTTTTTTCCATTTAAGATGGGCTTCACATAAGCTACGTGCTTATTTCTATGTTTGCAAACTCTTGGGAGGAAGAAAGGGAACATGTCATTTAAATCCTCACTGCCTTTGTATTCTCTTTTTAGGAACAATCCAATTGTCAGTCAAAACCAACAGAATGCAGGATTGACATTTTAAAGATATGTAAAGTCATGCTTTCTTAATGCCTCCAAATCAACAAGAGAAATGTTCATCTTAAAACTCTGAAGTTTCACCTCACATCTATCAGGTTGTCAAAGGTGACAAAAGAAACCGGAGAAGTTTGAAGGGTCAGAGGGAAGACAGGCACATTAATGCAATGCTGCGAATAGCAATACCCCTACTTGACATTACCCCAAGCAGGCCAAAGAAGAAAAAGCCTCGTTTATATGAAACAAGTTTGGTGGTAGCAAAGAACAGGAAGAAAAATGGGGGCCCACTGATTGAACAAATTGTGGTATATGACTGTAATGGAATATTACTGTTCCATAAGAAATGGTGACTATGAATAATTCTGAGAAATCTGCAAAGACTTGTATGAATTAATGCAGAATTAAGTAAGCAGAGCCAGGAAAACAGTTTACATGATGGCTACAACAACATGAAGGAAAAAAAAAACGCTAAAAAAAATTCAGAACTCTGAAGTAATGCAGTGCTCAATCATGATTCAGAGAGGCCACTAAAGCAAACATGTCATCTAATGCTTGAGAAAGAGGTAGGGGACTACAGATGTGAAATGAGGCGTTCATTTTTAGACAAGATCAATAAGGCAATGTATTTTGTTTGGTAATACTTATTTGTAATATGAGATAGTTTTAATGGTGGCAGAAGGGAAACATTAGGAAGTAACAATGATATAAAAAAAGAAAAAGCGCTAATAAAACAGCTTAAAAAACTAAAGTTATCCTTTCTTTGGTAATAAAATCTTAGTAATTTTGTAAAGTTAAAACTTAGGAGCACAACTTGAATTACTATCATAAACAATAAATCAAGAGTTTGAGATTATCTACTCCCAGTTTCTCATTTTTACAACTGAGAAAACTGAGGTCCAAGGTCATATAAATAATACATAGCAAAGTCAGAATTCAAAACCTGGATCCGATTCCAAACACAATCTTCCTACATTCCACCATGCTGCCTCTCAAAAAACACTATACTGAGTGACAAAGGAAGCAATGTGTCTTGAACACAAATGCCAGACATTGTAGAATGCATGTTAACAATGAATCCCAAAGACTACAGAGTTACACAGATTAAACCTTCAAATCTATTTTTCTGACTTCCGCTAGGTCAGGAAATCACAGTCTTTAGCCCACAAGAATATATGTTTTATTCAGAAACATTCTATTTGTTGTACAACAACGCTCATATTGGAGGAGCAGCTAATCCTTCTTGAGCGATTTTCTCTCTATTTAGATAAACACCCTTTATTTCTATAAAGAAATGGTACAGGGTACACCACGTGAGGCTTTGAAAACATGTCTAGAAAAAGTACTCAATGAGAGTATGTGTGGATCCTTTTGTGAAAATGGAACAGTAGTGTTATTTTTTTCTTCATCGATTAACTAGAAGTATAATTACTCAAAAATAATAAAAGATAAGAATATACACACAAGTTAATATGCATGACTTACATCTGTACTTGTCTTCCAAATGTGCTTTACACAGGGAAATAACACCAGTTTTAAAAGATAGGACACGGATTCTTCCTGTACGACCCCTAAAACAGGAAAAAAACAAACAACAAACCAGTTACTGCTGCTATTCTAACAGCTTAATCCCAGCCCTTTGATTTCTCTTTCAAAAAGAAATTTTAAAAAACCGTACATATCTTACTCTCAGGAATCTATCCAACATATAATTACCCTTCTTAATCAAATATTTTGATGCTCATCACCTACCGCTGGCTGACTGAAAACAATACAAAATGGCCAACTCTAGCCTCTCACTGTTTAAGCATATATTTGGATAGGATTAATCAAAAAGCCTTACTTGAATTGTAAAAGTAATTATGTAAGTTTCAACAGGAGGTGAAAAAAACCCCCAAAACCCAACACCTCTTTTTTATTTATCTGTGGAGATTCAACAGCAGGTTACACAGGAAACATAAGTTTCAAGGCAATAATTTGTGGAGGGGCCTCTGGGATCTGAGCTTGCTTTGTTGTTTTTTTTCTGTTTGAAAAGGCACAAGTTAATTGTCAGGGCAATTGTTTTGTTCTTTAAAGCTACCTTATTTTCATTAAATTTTCCACTTAGGGTTAAGAAAAGTACTCATTTCAGCCAAAAGAAGTATAATAGAAACTTTATGTAAAAACACAACTCCCTAAGAAAAACATTAATATCCAACATTTTATTTGTTATAGCTGCCAAACAAAGGGTAGCTTTTGTATAGCTAACTACATTTTTGGTAGATGTAAACTTTTGTTGTATGGAAATATAGCTTTCTGATCAAAGGTAACACGTAAAGATGAACATTACTCATTTGTAAATAGGATTATTTTCTGCACTGGCAAAACATGGGGGCAGGGGAGAAAAAAAGTCACAGTATATTTGTTGAAAACTCCACTTACTTCTTATTAATTCCCATTACAGCCAGTAGCCTAACAAACAGATGTTTGTAGGAAAAGCCTTTTAGAAAATTTCTCCTATCTGCCTCTCTAAAACCTCTTAACATCTGTCTGGTCACATTTATCTCTCATTTGGGACTGGTCCACTCATCTACTGGGGAAAAACTTCAGACATATACTACTCTAAGTCGAATAAACATGTTGGATGTGAGTACAGAAACCACCAGGCTAGCAATCCTGGAAAGTTTCTCTCTCTTTTAAAACAAAAAAAATAAAGGAGGTTTACATAACTTAATTTTCAAGGTCTCGGACTTGGCAAGATATGGTTTTCAGCGAAGTTGAATGGAAGCTACATACAAAAATGTTATATGAATTGATATGAATTATTTGAAAATGGAATTGGGAACTACTTTCTAAAAACCTATGATAAATATGAGGAGAAAAGCAACCCCAAAACCCACTAATACTTTATGCTAGTATGGCTGAAATAAAAAAATTTGTGTGCTTTGTCTATAATAGCTAAGAATTTAATACCCAGATGTTCCTGAAATTTTTTTTAAAGTGACACCTTAACATTATTTTTAAAAGGCCAAAATAATAATTTCAAATTTAATATAGGAGGAAATGGGGGCGAAGTCATAGGAGAGCCAATGTTATAAGAATTATCATAAGTAAGTCCTTACTTATTTTATAAAAATCTTCCTTAACCAACAGGAATAAGATTTTGTCGCTACTTGAAATAAGAGTCTGTAACAAATTCTGATGTATAAAGATAATTCAATTAGAACTTAAACCAATTCTTTCTAGAACTGATAACTTAGTTGGCTTTGTTATATCCAGGATCAGACCAAAAATTATTTCACAAATTAAGTTCTAAGAGAATTAATGATGGTGCCAAACCTTAATGAAATTTTAAGAAATTAAATACATTGTTTGCGGAAATGTTGATGATGACAATAACTGGATTTTTAAATTCATTTTGATTTATTTTAGTCATTTATTTTCATATATACTATATGTAGTATATATTATATATGTGTGTGTGTGTGTGTGTGTGTGTATGTGTATAATATACATACATACACATAGTAACCAAAATAGCTACAACTCACTGACAGATATGATAAGGTTTTCTAGCAAGACAGTATAAACACTTAAAATTGCTGAAAACATTCCTAAATGTCAATAAAGGAAGGTCTAAAAATAAGATGTATTACCATGAGTCCTCCCACTTCGTTTAGAAGGTTAAAAGGTATCTTTACACTAATGAACTCTGCAGTGAAAAAACATTTTGTAAAAATGACTTCACCAACTACGGGTTTTGTAGCTTTAGGAGAATCTATTTTCCACCTCTCACTGTTTGAAAAACAGATTACCCATTTTCAACCAATGGCTCAACTAAGGGCAGCCATTAAGCTGTAAGCTTTATGTAATGTACATTCTAAACACCTTGTGGCCTTAGCTACGTGTTCTGTGTGTAGGAAGGAAGACTGTTAATTACTCCTATCATCATCAGGGCATGTAAGCCTTTATAATAAAAGCCAGCTGCACGTACGTGTCATAAACATTCAGCAGCCAGTTGAGGCACATGTCCACGCAGAGAGGAACATTGACCAGGTTATTGTGCTCTTGCTCCAGTCGATCATAAATAGTGGTCAAACAGTTAATGATCTGTAGGATGTCCATGGGCTGGTCGTTTTGTTTGAGGTTGTGCTGGTCCAAGGCATCACATGCAGCAGACAGACTCAGGAGATCCACTGAGTGAAATAAAAACAGCAAAATAAATAAATAATAAACAAATAAATAAGGAAAAAAAGACAAATCAAAAATCAAATTATTTAAGAATAGCTTTTTCTTAACAACTACTTCTTTCCCTTAAAAAAAAATCACACCAGGACTAAAAACATTCTCCAGCAATTAAAAGTAAATTCCCACTTTAAAAAGCATTTTTGTTCTCTCCAGGGTAAGCAGTAGGTTTACTCCTCAAATAAGTCCTTTTAACTTTACCAAATATTCAGGGTTACAAATTGCTCAAGTCTTTCAGTAGATATCAAGCTAAGCTTAGGGTCAGATGAGATAGGGATATGGGGAGGGAGAAGGTGGGGACTCTATCCTTCAAAAATTATGTCCTTAAGACTAAGGAGTGAGATACCTCTAAATAAACTGAGCAACTTCCAACTGATTAAGAAAATAACAGTTTTCATAGGTATTGAAAATACTACCTTGCAGAGTTATTAAGGTTTATCAGCTGGATGAACCTGTACACAGAGAATATTTTACTTCCAGCTATGCATTTATAATAGGTTGTTTTTCTTCTTGGAACATTACTGAACCTGCTAAAAATCTGACTACTTTTCTTTCGCAAGAAAAGGCACAAAACAAACAAACACTACTCTATGGTATAATAGTCTCACCAACCTAACTAAAGATAATAGGCTAAATGACTAAATTAACTACACCAACCACAGACTAACTAAACTAGCTATAACCAGGAAGATAACATAATCTCAATTTCACCTTAAATTTTGTTTTCAAATAGTAATAGTAGCTAACATTGATCTAGTGTTTCCTACATTCCAGGAACTACGCTAAGCACTTTACAATTATTGTGTCATTTGGTCCTTACAAGAACCCTGGGAGAAGACTAGTGCTGTCATTATCCTCATTTTACAGGTGAGGAAACTGAGGCAAACATAGGTTAAATGACTTGCCCAGGTCACATAGCTGACCTGGCTCCAGGTCACATGACTTGACTCCAGGCCCAACACTCTTTCACATACTTAGAAAATTTTTTAAAGCTTAGTCAAGTTTTTACTCTTAACTTGGGATGGGAGCTAATAATATGCTGACAGAGCAGAAAATTTAACTAACCTAAAATATGTGCCTTGTCCAACATCAGCAAATCCACAACCTATTTATCAGCTCTATTCCTAAGGGTCATGAAAGATGCTTTCCTCTAATACCAATTTATTACCCAAATTGGAAACACAGCAGCAGTGTGTGTGTGTGTGTGTGTGTGTGTGTGTGTGTGTGTGTGTGTGTGTTTACCATCTTCAACTCTGCAGCTTAGGTTGAATACTTAATTCCTTAGAGATGGTGAATCAATGGTAATTAAGAGAACTCTTCAAGTGTCTGGGTGGCAGTTTAATTATAAACACATCTCCCAGCCTGTAAAGGGTTTTCTTACTATTCAACATCTTACGTGCTTTTAACCACATGCTGGACAAAATGTCTGAAATGAAATTAATGTAAAAAATGGTGGAAAAGTGGTTTTCCTCTTTTGAGAAACAAAATCAAAGAGGAAAATATGAGAGTAGATTATGATTAAACGAGAAAACATATATGAATTGTTTTACAAACCTTAAAGTACTATAATTATGACCAAAAGCGTATTTTCATGTCTATATTCACTTAAAAATATGGTGAAATCCTAATCAC